AAGAGAACACAAATCAAACCTGCAGGACACACACAAAGCAAACACAAGTTGGGAAATCTGAAGAATTGTGGGGATTATATTGTCTTTTTTTTTTTTTTTTTTTGCCTGGGAGATGTGGTTCTTGTTGCTAATTACATTTAATTGTTTTATCACCATTTGTGAATGAATAATACTACTGTGCAAAACTGTGCTGTGAGCTATCCCAGCACATCCCAAACAACTAACTCCACTGTCTTATTGTTCTGGAATGTCGCTACACTCCTGAAATAAGTCTGCTTCTTTTTTGAGGGCTGTTTGTGGATTGTCATAATATCAAATTATTATTAAATTTCATATTGAGACAGTGAGCCCAACTGGAAAATGCTTTCTGAAGCACATGGGACGTAATGTGCCTGAGCATACGGCCAGCTTACTGTGCCTCTAGGCCATGCAGTGTACTTGCAGAAGGGGTGCAAATGGATGGGAAGGGCTACGTGTTTACAGCCACTCCGGACTACTCACTATGGTCAGTCACTTAAGCTAGTATTTAGCGAAAAACCTGAAAACAAGGAACTAAGGATAATCCCTGCCTTAGTTAAAACCATAGCAGAGGAAGAAAATAGTGCTGGAAGGGATTTTGAGAGGCTGTCTAGGTCCTCGTCTTATCGCAGCATCAGATCAGCTGTCCCTGCTGTACTGCAAGAAGATGTTTACAGACCTGCAGTGATGGAGATCTCAGGGTCTCTCTGAGTGGTGTACAGTCCTCACTTAACTGGTTTGGCAAGCAGGAAGTTTCCTAATACCTAACCTAACTAGTAGACATGGAAAGCAGGTTCTCCCTTTTCTTTTGATGTAGGTGAATACCTCTGCCTGCCCCCTCTCTTCTCTTTGGGCCAGATGTCTCCTGTCCCTTATACCTTCCCTTGTAGTTTGGGTTTTCGGAATCTTTTGCCATTTTTGTCTCTTTCCTCCTGACATTTTTGAGTTGGTTCTCAACTATCCTGGAGTGTAGACCTGAAAACTGAGCAGACTATTCCAGTTTAAATAATAACTTCTGGACAGACTAAAATGATTTATTTGTTCTCTTATTTATGATACTCCTATTTATGCACTCCAGCATCAGCATAATACAAGATAGCCTAGCACTGCTCATGATCCGTCGTTTCTTTCCTGAAGAACTGCTTTTTTATCCTGGTATGTACTTGTGCAGTTGATTATTCCTTTGTATGTGTACAACTTTCTGTTTCTCCTTATTCGGTGGCATTTCAGTTTCTCCAATCTGCCAAGATCCTTCTGAATCGTAATGCTGTGCTCCGGCATAGTTGGAGCCTCTTCCTGTAGATACGGTCTCCAAATGTAAGTGTACTCTGTTCAGTCACAAAAGATGTTCATGAAAGTACTGAATAGTTATGGATCCAAGACGAATCTCAGTGAAATCCCGTTCAATGTATCCTTTCAGCTTGGGAGTACTAATTATTTCCAAATAATTTTGCACTCATTTTATATACTTGTCTAGACCATTATTTTTTTTCGGTTAAGAGCATATTATATGAAGCCCTGTGATCCTCTCTTTTTCTACCCTATCCATGAAGCCTGTTACCTACTGATAGAACTGGATTAGATTGATCTGATATTATTTGTTACTGACAAACCAAGGCTGTTACTTCTCTTACCTTTACTTTCTAGATTCTTGCAAATGGTTGGATTACCTGCTGAAATGTTTATTTTTTTTTTGAGTAGAAATTCAGCTAACCAGTTTGTAGAGCTCTTTCCTTCCACACTTCGAGAGGTATGCAATCCTTTTCAAGTTAATCTGGAACCTCACCCATTCTCTGTTGATTCTTGGAGCTCATCAGTAGCAGCTCTAACATTGCTTGAACCTTAAGGGAGTTTCATCAGGTTCAGTCTATCCAAAAATCTTTAACTTCACTAAGTATTTTCCAGTCTATTTCTTCATTTTTCTAGCCTAAGCTCTTAGGCTTTTGTTAGTGGTGCTAGTAGTGAAATCACATCTGCCTTCTTCAAGTGAAGACTGAGCTTAAAAAGTCATTTAAGGATACTGGCATCTCAGCATCACCAGTCATTAGGTGATGATTAAATAGATTTCCCCTCTATGGAATAACAGACCAATTTTTTCCTTCGTCTTCTCACTATGCATCTTTTCAACATCTTTCCTGTCTTTTAAATCCAATTTTCTAACATACTGGGACCTTATCTTTCTGGTTTTGTCCATACATAGTCTATACATTTATTCATAATTTAGTAATTTGACCTACTTTCCACTTTCTTCCAGGTCATTGAAGATCTTATGATATTCAGCCAAGTTAGTCTTTATTTCACTTCCTCTCCTTCCTCTGTGTAGATCAAATTCCGCAGTTTTGCCTTTAGCAGTGGATCTCCAATGAACTTCAAGCTGTCCTGAACTCGCAGAAGTTTAGCTACTAGTTCTCTGAGTTTAAGCCTCCATTTAGTTCCACCTCCACTTCCTAACAATGAAAATAGGTAAAAGAGGGTCAGATTGATTCGTATTTTTCATTTCTTCTCTGTATCGCTAATCAGAATTTCAAATACAGGAATTTCTTCTACAAATTTTCCTTCTCGCAGTGTTTTCTACTACTTGTGGCTTAGGTATGATCCAGTCCCTGGCCCACCTTAGGGAGATGCAAATATTTAGGTTCCCATGCAATGTTTGCAGGATGTCTCACCCCTGCTAGCTGATGCAACATGCTTCGCCTAACATTCCAGGTAGCGTGAGTGCTCTCCTCTTCACATCTTTTGCTCTCCTGGAGCAAAACAACTGCCTTTTTCTAAGCATATGCATTGTGGACTACACTCACAGGAGTGTGCCACTGGGGAAAAACCACCTATCTCACTAGAAAGGACCAAAAAACCTCCCACCAAACTGGAACATTCTGTGTTTGGAGGCATTTTCCCAGCTAGAAAATGGGCTGTAAGTTGAGAGCATCATCTTCATTTAGTTCTCTCCAAAGCTGGCTGGATGATAGTGTCACACAAATTCCCACAGATGGAATTTTTAGAATAAATAAAGGTTAAATAAGGGATTTGACTGGAAAAGGGAGGACACCTCCTACAGTGAAATAGAAGATAAAAGGTGAATGTTCACACCAGACCCTCAGATCTCTTTGGAATACCTTGCATGAGCAAAGATTGCTTGGATTTTGCCAGTAAGACAGGAATAGTATTCTCTTTGAAAACATGAGATGCACAGACATCAGCTATATCACATGCATTGCTCTCTCTCCCCTTTCCCCCTCACCCCAGAGAAAGGTAGGTATTTAGGATCTGATTCTGAAATGATCACTGCCTCTCCTGTTGTTTCGTGTTGGACTTGTAAGTATTTATTATGAAACTCAGGCCTTTGATATAAAGGCAAATCATATGCAGGAAGAAGGAATGCAAATTCATGGGTTTTTTTAAAGAAATACTGACTATGATGGCTTCACATGAAACTTACTGTATAAGGCTCAGAGTCTTATTTGGTGTATGCATACTACAGCGTAAAGCAAGTTACCAGATTCATACCAAAATCAGTTTGTTGTGAACAGCTCTGTTTCAAATGTTAGCATAGATACAAACTGATGATGATCCAAAATACTTTAAAAATCATTTTATTGGCAGTGGAATAAATATATACTAGAGATTTTACAGCCTGCTGCATAAATGTGTTGTGAAATCAACATGAAAGTAAGTCAATTCAAAATGCATTTAAGAATAATTTCAGGAATTATTCTGAGTCCCCCTGCCACTGCTTATGGTTTTACAGTGACAATTTGCTCTTGATACATAAAGACTGTCTCTGAACACCGCCTGAACTGCACGTACACAAAACCTAAGATGCTGTGTAAGTGAGGCCCTGGTCCTGAGGTGGATCTGCTCACAGGGATTCCTCTTGAGGTCTGATGGCTTCGTTAGCGTTTGCACCAGGAGGAGACTCTGGTAAGAGATCACACTAAGGGATTAAGGCATTGCTAGACATCAGAGAAATTATTATATCTAAAGTGTTAATTATACATAACATGCCATTAAAACAAGAAATCATCTGAGGTTCATATGTGCTGGTGATTTGAATACGGTGTATGTAGTATTAGAATATATTTCAAGGAGGTTGAGCTATAGTACAGTTAGGACACATAACAAAGTCACTCTCAGAGCTCCAGTGGGACATTTAAATACTAGTAAGCTTTATGATGTCTCTTTGCCTGGAAATAACTGAATGAAATTTAGATAGTATCTAGAAGTTACATTTTTTAAAAACACATTTTGTTCCAGTGGGATGGGTAAGAGTGGGTTGGGTTTGCACTGGTTGGAGAGAACACAAACACAGTTATATGAAGACAGACTTAAAAGCCACAGGACATCTAAAACCATTTGAAGAATGAAAAAATCTCTAAAGAATAATCAGCAGTAACTATTTCTGTGTGAAAGATGCATTTCTTCCCAGACAGCGGAAGTGCACGATGTCTGAGAGAAGTTTAAGCTGTGAGATGGTATCTATCCTGGAATTAATGGTACTCAAGGTAGTGTTTAAAAACAATTCTTGACAGACTAGTGCTTCAAGTCCTGGTGAATCCCAGTCTGAGCTGATGTGCTTTGCCTTACACAATGCACCAAATAGCCTCGTCAAACCTGAATGAGTTAAAACCTTGCTTTTGCTTTCTGTATTTCAACAATAATGCTCTTAGCTATTATACTACTTAGCACTTCAATAGCTTAATTCACTTGAGCTGTTCAAAGCACTCCCTGAACTTCGTAAAAGGGAAGCTACCTTGAAAAAAAATCCAGTGTCGTATTTTTAAAGCTGACTATTCTGGGAGGTAGGATCTAACAACAGCATGACTCAAGTGTAGAGAACGAAGGTTTTTCATAGTGCTGGGAAATCCCGGTGCCAAACTGCGCGGCTGAAGTATGGACCCACATCAGGATGAGGTGCAACCCGACCCAGATCCATTTAAAGCAAGATGATTTGGGTTTTCTGTAATCCTCTGCGCCGACTGGCTTCCATGGTCTTTGTCTCATCTTGGAGAGCACGGATCAAGTCCCAGTCTCCATTTGCAGCAGAGCAGAACAAGAGCGCGTCCGTCTCGGCCCTCCTCGTGCTGGCTGGCACCAGCGGTTACAAAGGCACGCAGCGGCGGCCGGCCCTGCACCCGGCGGGCGAGGAAGGGCGAGCGGCAGGAGAGCTATCCGTGCAGCCGCTCTTCCCCAAGCTCGGCCATGCCCAGCGTCCTCGAAGACGGATACTGCGGAAGAGGGAGCCTGGAGAGAGATGTTAGCTGTGGGTGTTTTCAGTCGTTTTACAAATCACCGAGAGGTACTTTTATGTTTCTTGTCAACAGTACAGCCTTAAACGTAGCCAAGTTTACTGCAATAAAATAAACAGTTTTGACACAAAAGCGAACAAAATAAGCACAGTACAACGCAACCACCCAAGAGTTAGTTTTTCTGGTTTAATTTCCCAGAGTTTCTGCAGTCTAGCAGTCTGGAAATAAAAATGCATTAAAAATGGCAACATTAAATATCTTACGAAGATCATGTAAGACTTCATCACATAAGCCATTTCGAAAAGAGAACTAGTTTTAAATTTTCCTGCGGTCCAAAGGCCCTCAAATACGCAATATACATGATACCGGCGTGTGCAGTAACGACAGAAATAAGTCAAAGATTTTCCTCTTAACTTCTGTGCGCTACTCTTCATGCTTTAAATACCTGTCCACGGTTCACAGGTAAAAAACTAAAAGCTATATAATCAAAGTTGCTCTCTAATTGGATTTTTTTTTTAACGTAGGGTGCATTTCACAGGCGAAGTCCCTATGCTAAATTAAATGGCGAGAAGAGGCAACGCAACCCGCTCGCTCGGAATCGCTTTGATAAACGAAGCGGGAGGTCGTACCTGCCAACTGTAAACGTAACCACGCGTGGCCGCGGACCCCGGTCCCCTCCTGCAGGGAAGCAGCAGCACGAGTTAAAAAATCCACGTGCTGGAGGAGGCGCCGGTCCCCAGCCCCCGCACCCACCCACCCACCCACCT